ATTAAGTTCCTGCTGCTTGTGGCTTAACAGCCTGTGGCTCCAGAATTCTGATGTATGTGAGTGAATTAGTGTTTGTGTGTGTGTGTGTGTGTGTGTCTTGAACACGCCTCTCTCATTATTAAATCTGACTCCTCCTCCCGCAGCCTCATCACGTTTGTTTGGCAACAACACTGAGTCTCTGTGAGTTTAACACCAGCTGATAACTTCAGATCGATTCTTCTCCTCGGAAAACAAACATCCGTGTTTATAAAGCGAGCGCAGACTGAACATCTCTCTCGACACGACGGCACCAACATGGAGGCTGGATTCCGCTGCTCTCCGCTGATCGTGTGTCTGGCTGTGGCCGCCGCGCTGGGCTCGGTGCTCGGGCTCGGCGAGGACCTGGACCGGCCTCTCTTCGGGCCTCCCGGTTCTCCCATCCAGCTCCACGGGTCTGACCCCGGGCTGAAGAAGGCTCTGCAGTTCGCCGAGGATCACTACAACCGGGGCTCTAACGCCATGCACCTCCGCAAGATCAGCCGCTTCATCTCCGCGACCAAACAGGTGATAAACAAAGATGGAGGCTTTTAATCGTCTTAATATTTCATCCGCAACACACAGTCGTTGTATTGTGTCGTAGTGTGGCGGCTGAGTATTGAGTATGTATCGATCGATGACGTCAGAGAAGGTTTAGTTCTTTGTAAACGAGTGAGGCTGCGGAGCCTTTAACAAGTCATACACAGACCGGAAATAATGGCCCGTCTTCAAAATAATATCATACACTAGTCACCGCGGTCTAAACATTCCTTCTGAGTACAACGAAGATAGAAGAGTACGATTTATATTTCACTTCACAATCAGCATTTCTTTTTATTTCGACACCTCAATTATTAAACTCCAAAGACAAGTAAAAGCAACATATTCCTCTCAATACGTGTGTTTCTTTCTGACCGGAAGTTACACTACTCACCTGCAGAGCACTGCCCATGATGATGCAGCAAAAAAAGCATCCTCATACTGAAACAGATTCACTGAAGGCTTCTGACCAAATGTAATTCAGATGTACAACTATAGTATGAACACCAGCATACAAGAGTGTGACAGTTATTTCTGAACAATAGGGCAAAAGATCTTGTTTGTAAATAAACAAAACATTGTCTGTGTGTGTGTGTTGCAGCTGGTTAAGGGAATCCGCTACACAATAACAGTGGAAGTGAGTAACACTCAGTGCAAGAAATCCACCATGCTCCGGACATGTGACTTCTACCCTCAGCCACAGAAACTCAAGGTAGGGTGTGTGTTTGTATGTGCACATATCTTTGTGAGAAGATAGACCATATGAACCTATTAGGGTTAGAATTAGGTTTAGGGTAGAGTTTGGTTGGGGTGAGAATCAAGGGAAACAGGCAGGAAGAGGCCATGAGTGTGAAAAGACACTTAAATTGTCCCTAATAAAAACCCTAATGATTAAAATGGTTAAGATCCCACCACAAAAGAAATAAATAAATAAGTAGATGACAGATTTTTTAAAAGCTTAGAGTAATTTGCCAAAATAGAGATGTACTTGTGTTCCTCTAGCTGTGCATTGATTTGTTATTGCAGCGGTGTTGTTGTTTTTGTTCAGCAGTTATGTCACCAGTCATCTGATCTTGTGACTTGAGAGTGACTCGGAGTAACCCCAAGCCTGTTTATGTCTCACATACATGCACACACTCAACTGACATACATTTTTTCCTGTTTCTTCGTTTGCCTCCCCCACACTACATAGTTAACACCTATTCCCAAACAAAAGAGCACATTGTATCTGAATAATGAAACAAAACCATGCTGTACATGTAAAACAATAGGTTTATTTGTCAGCTTGTTTTGCAGTGTATTAATCCACTTATTCAATCAATTTCTAACACTGTAAATATAGACTGTATATGACTGTGTAATAATCTGAGAATGTTTGTAATCTGAATATCTCTGTGCACTGTGCATGTTTTTGTTTATGTCAGACGGAGCTGTGCATGTTTGAAGTGTGGGACATCCCCTGGCAGGGCACTTCGACTCTGCTCAAACAGAAGTGCCAACCTAAAGGTCAGTCAGCAGCGCAGAACCAGCCAAACACACTGAAATCTTTCAGAATTAACGATTCATGACTTTTCTGTAAATATGTTTATCAGGTTAGCAACAATCACTATTGATATATTGTTTATGGCAGTGTTCAGTGTTATCCCATGATGCTTTATTTCATTTGTAATAAAACTCAACAGTGTGGTTCTGGAAATAAAAATACAATTCATTGTCAGAATAGAGTCTTTGATTATGAACCATGATATTGTGACCATATAATTTAGCTATGAGATTGTAAAACAATGTTGTGTTCTCCTGTAGAAGCCACAAGTCTCTATGATTTCAACTGCGTCTTAAGAAAAGGAGATGTAGTCCTTGGGTGTCTCTGATTGGTCAACTACAGTGGTTCAGCATTACATTATGTTTTCCACAGAGCAACAACGGCTTCCCTTTCTAACATGCTGCAGGTTTTAGAGATGAAAATCACTAGTCAGATCATGTACTGGAGAGAAGTATTTGTAAGGGCCAGCCTACGGGTTCACAATGGTTTATGGGATGCATAGTTCCTCTGCTACAATAAGTATGTACTTGTACCTTTGCCCTTTTTCCATTTTCCAATATTATTTTGCCCTGAATCAAATGTTTGATGGACACAATTCATCTTGTAGCTGATCAGCCTGATTCCAGGCTTGATACATTTTTTACAAGGATTTTCTTCTATGGGAGGAAATGGGAAATTTACATGCGGAACCAGAACTGTTCTAAAAGTGGGTGCTCACTTTTACTCTCTATAGCAACAGAGACTTCCAGCATGACATTGGCCCAGTCAAGTTGTTCAGATACGATATATATATATATATAAAATAATCGCTAAAGTTTTACAACCAGTAAGTTCATGGACTTTGTCACTGACTGAAGACATGTGCAAATGTTCCCCAGAGAGAATGCTCTTTGGATTCTAATTTAAAAAATCACATTGATGAAAAAGGTAGTAGACTTCGACCTTGATTCCTGGAAAATTGTGTAATGCTGCTGTTTACTAACCTGGTCAATAAGTTTATACCAGAGAGTTAAATAAGGAAAAGGGTTAAATAGGGATGAGTCCACCTGTGTCCACTTCCACATTAATTTTATTTTTCCTGCAAATGAAAAAAGGCTATATTTAATAACATTATACTCTTTGTTGTGGTTCTACTTTTTACATTTAGATTTGCATGGCTGAGTGTGGTTCAGTAAGTGATCATGTCCAAATGTGTCTCTCTTATCAGTTGAATTCCAAGTGAAAGAGACCAACGAGGTGGAGGATCTATCCATCAACCCGCCTCTCGAGGTAAATATTAAGTCATTATCAGACCCAAAAACAAAATGTTGATGTTCGCTTCAGTCTTGTTATGTGCTTCTTGTTGTGAACTGCTATAATGGACATGAACATGAGATTGAGGTCTGTGTCACTGATTGTGTGTTTGTTCTGCTCTTTATCTGACAGGAATCTGTGGAGCTGCTGGGACAGTTCAAAGAGTTCATGGTCAAGTACAATAAGGTTTACAGCAGCCAGGATGGTAAGTGGCTGATCACTCAACTCAACCTTTTAAATCAGTAGATTTATGTTGGTTAGAAGTATCTCATCCACAGTGAATAAGCATTAACAAAATCACATTTTGCAAAGAAATCTTAGATGAGACATTAATTACAATATAACCATGACAATTTCACCACATGACTATAAATACAATTTCAGAAACACAATAATAAAAGACATAAACCTTTATGTCACTACATGGTAATTTACAGCTTTACTTATTCGGTGATGGATTGGATTAAAATGTATTTATTATCATGGAGAAAATAAAGACAATTTCAAAAATTCGCAAGAGAGGAGCAGTCACAGAAAATTAAAAAGTTATGTGTTGGTTTGTATTCAAAATGCATAACACTGATAATCTGCCTTCTATCTCATTGAATTTCAAGAGCTCCACCTATAATAATAATAATACTAAAAATAATCAGGTGAAAGTCAGAGTGTTCTTTAAATGTGTGTATTTTGACCCTGCAGAGGCAGACCGTCGTCTGAGCATCTTCCATGAGAACCTCAAGACTGCTGAGAAGCTCCAGTCTCTGGATCAGGGCTCAGCGGAATATGGAGTCACTAAGTTCAGTGACTTGACCAGTGCGTGTCCTATGAGGAAATGTCTCTTCTTCTTTTTAGGTGTTTGCATCATCAGCTTTTCTTCAAGTAAAACAAATTTGTTCTCCTTTTGTCTTTTTTTTTTTTTTACCAGAGGAAGAGTTTCGCTCTACATACCTTAACCCGCTCCTGAGCCAGTGGACCCTCCATCGACCAATGAAACCGGCCTCTCCCGCCAAAGGTCCCGCCCCTGCCAGCTGGGATTGGCGGGATCATGGAGCTGTCAGTTCTGTGAAGAATCAGGTACCAACATACAGCTTTAATTACAGGGCTCTGAATAACATGCTGCTAATGAATAAATCATACATCCTGCTTACTTCATATTGAGGTGTGTGTGTTTCTTTTAGGGTATGTGTGGATCCTGCTGGGCCTTTTCTGTCACTGGGAACATTGAGGGCCAGTGGTTCCTGAAAAATGGAACTCTGGTGTCACTGTCTGAACAAGGTAACGAAGAAAACGCATGAAATCTGAAAATTATTCGGGAAAATCCTGCAGAAAAATACATCTCTGTTTACTGTTTAAGATTAAAGCCATGATTTGATTGGTGTATTGATTTGCCCTCTTGCAGAGCTGGTTGACTGTGATGGTTTGGACCAGGCGTGCAATGGAGGGCTGCCATCAAACGCTTATGAAGCCATTGAGAAGCTGGGTGAGATTAGATTTTACCAACATAATTGAGTTTTTTGCTTCCATTCTTAAGGAAAATTGCATCCTATTTCCACTCTGAGCAAACTGCAGAAAAGATAGAGAATTCACAGAGTTGCATATGCAGGATTCCAACACCCCAGAAAACCTGGGAAGTGATTAAAATAACAATTAACTTTGTAAAAATCTGTGTATTTTAAATCACTGTTGGTAAGACGCTGTGTAGTATGACAGATATGTCCTGTAACTCTAACTTTAGGTTATTAGGGGTGCATATAACAACTCATTACAATATTAACTTTTACACAAAGCCATGACAATAACTCACAGCTTACAGTGAACCTTATAGTGTGATTTCCTTCATTCTGAAATTGTTAAAGAGGGAGAGCATAGTCATGTTCAAATGAAGGACCTAGAGAAGCCAGTTTAGATAGTTCATGTAACAAAACCACAAAACAAAATGAGGTCATGGTCCTCAAGTTGTTGTACAGTTTGTAGTATGTAGACATCACCTATAATAGAGACAATTTATCATGAACCCTGCATCATTAACACATAGGGAATAGAAATTGGGATAATGTGTCAATACTAAGCCTTCCATTATATTACATGATTTTGACCAGAGTGGAAACCCTGATATGTCTCTGATTCATGCTGGATTGGATCATATTTCATTTTGTGTTGAAAGTCCTGCTGCGTTTGTGAATTTTAACCATTTCATTCCTTCTCCCTGGTCTGTGGTGAAGGTGGCCTGGAGACAGAGACTGACTACTCCTACATCGGGAAGAAGCAGAGCTGTGACTTCGCTACAAAGAAAGTAGCTGCATACATCAACAGCTCTGTGGAGCTGTCCAAAGACGAGAAGGGTGAGTGGGCTGAATAAATAAATGAAAGGTGATGACAAAGCACTGATAAGAACATCCTCAGAGATGCCTTCTGAAACACACTTGTTTTTTAATAAGTAGTGGAGACTGATCTCTGTTAATCTACAGGTATATAATTGTTATTACAAAATTCAGACAAGTGTTCTTGGTTTTGAGGGTGTGAGGCAAAGAGCTGTCAAATGGACTGATCTTGATTTTTTTTTTATTCAGAGATTGCAGCTTGGCTTGCTGAAAATGGGCCAGTCTCTGTGGCTCTGAATGCCTTTGCGATGCAGGTAAGCAGCTGAGTCATCACTATTACACCCTCACGCCACCACAGCAGAGACTGACTCATACATTTTACATAAGCAGTTGTATGAACTCTAGAAAATGTCTGTAAAATTGGGTCAAAAACATTTTCCGGAGTTTGCCTCTCACAAATGAAGAAGCTGCAGGAGATTGTTCACAACAACAGGAAAATGTCCAGAACCAGCGAGAGGTGGAGTCTGGTTAGAACGTATTGGAGGCATGATGTATTAATTCCACTGAGGAAATCACAGCTTTTTTACAAAGCACATCAATACTTGTGTCAGTCTTTATGGTCAATAGCTCCCAAATCTCATTGGTTCTCAAATGTGACATCTTTGTCAGCATCTGCTACATGTGTGACTTCTCATTTTCATCCTGAGATATTTGTTTTCTTTTAGTTTTTTCATGTGTTAGAAACCTCATCAACACTCCCACTCGCTTGCTGTGAATTTTTACAGACATTTTGTCAGGGGACTGGAAGGAATGATTTCAGAAAAGGTTCCGCAGCAACTGACATTTGTATTCTCACATGCAGCTCCTCTGCAAAATTTTATGAATCATTTCAAGATTGCATATCTAAAAGTGGCTATACTTTTACTTACTCTACCATCATTTGTGTGTACATCAAGATCTAGATTATTTATCACGTCAAGATGAATATCTCATGTCCTCAACAATTTGATTTTTCAGCATATAGACACGTTTAATTCATTCAAATTGTATCCTGTAGTTCTACAGGAAGGGTGTATCTCACCCCTTGAAGATCTTCTGCAACCCGTGGATGATTGACCACGCTGTCCTGATGGTGGGATACGGAGAACGTACGTTTTTTTGTTTTTACCCTCCCTTCAATTACACAGACCGTAGTCCTGACAATCAAGTGACAGACACGTTTGTTTTAAAGGTTGATGTTTTCAGATGCAGTAAAGTACATTGTATGGATGTTTCTGTGTTTTCAGGTAAAGGTATCCCATTCTGGGCCATCAAAAACAGCTGGGGGGAGGATTATGGAGAGCAGGTAAGACCACAGGGGACTAAAGACTGCATTTATTACAAATCAATCTGCCAATTTTCTTCTCAATTAATTGTTTTATACATGAAATCTTTACAGTTCAGTAGAATTCAGTAACACAGCGAAGCAACATGTTTAAATATTCAGTGTTTCTGAGACTAACAAAGAAATGTTGTTTTTACGTCATGTAATGAGGCCACAGACTTACTTTTTTGTTGCACTCTGCAAAAATAACTAATGTTTTCTATCATATTTAATTCATGGGCTGGTTTCATTACACAACAAAAATAAAGATTACAAATAAATTTACTTTGTCACTTTTACTGACAGTCTCTCTCTCTCTCTCTCTCTCTCTCTCTCTCTCTCTCACAGGGTTACTACAACCTATACAGGGGGTCCAATGCATGTGGGATCAACAAGATGTGCTCATCTGCTGTCGTCAATTAAAGCACTAATAACATATTATTAGTGTGTTCACGCACACACACACACACACACTACAGCTGGCTGCAACATTCCACCCGTCACACACATTTGATCCAGAGTGCATGAAGAGTGTCACAGTCAGACACATTAAGTTCCTGCTGAAGCAACATTTTCATTAAAAACCAGACCAGTGTTCCTCCTCCACATCTAACTCCTGTTACCAAAAACATACCAGCTCTAATAAAGCTAGCTTTGCTCTGAAATGTTCTGATAATTTTAATTGAAGTACATTTAGTGTTTTTAGAACATTTAATTCCGTTAGTCCTGCAGGTAATTGTGATTGCTGTGTTTTAGGCACTGTTGGTTTTTATCTCATCTCTCCTCACGCTAACTGAGCCCATGTTTGATGAGGTGTGTGCACTAGTTGCTGTAGACGTCTGTTTTGTCCGTTTGGTTTTGTTAGCAGTGTTTGTGCTGAAGTGGTTCTTGAGAGGGTCTTTTTAAAGAAAATGGAGATTTTACGATGCAATAATTTGCACATTACTACATAACTGCAGTGCAACTGTAATAACTGCTGTAAGACAGTGATGAGAAATGAGTGAAGGTTGAATAAAAAAATATTGGAATCCTATTGTTTGTGTATGGTGTTCTTTTCCTAAAACACACTGGAATACCCATCATCTATACTACTGTCCTTTAGAGGCTGGAGCCAATCCCAGCCAACATTGGGGCGGTACAACCTGACGACCAACATACAGAGACAAACAACCATTCACACTCACATTCACATGCATGTCCAATCTAGAGTCTCCGATCTACCTAATCTGCATGTGTATGGACTGTGAGAGGAAGCACAAGGAGAACATGCAAACACACAGAAAGACCAGGACTGAACTGAGATTCAAATCTGCAACTTTGTTGCTATAAGGCAACTGTGTGGAAATGTATTAGCTCATCAAATGTACAATAAGTTTATGTTATGTATTTGCTGGTTAACCATAATAAAAATTAATGAAATTGAACATTTCATGAAACAAAGTGGTGGCTGGAATATTTCATTCAACAATAATAATAATAATAATAATAACAACAGTAATCGTAATAATAATAACACTGCCATCAGTAAAGACCTTTTCTTGTACCCTTGGCACCTTATGATGGATGTGAAAACAAGAGCTTCCCCGAACACTGGTGTTCTTGAATGTTGCCCACATTGAGACTTTACAAAACTCTATTTCCCACAATGCAAAGCCACTGCCACGGAACGAATAGTCTCGCGTTGAGACCTCTTTATATACAGTCTATGTTGATCTACGATATAAGGAGGAAATAACCAGCTATGAGTAAATTATTCAGACACATAATAGAAACGAATAGCAAGTGAAACAGCATTCATATTGTAAAGAGTAATATGAAGCCTTGTTTATCCTACAGATACTATGAAAACAGACAGAGGCTTTTATTTTGACAGGGGAGCATAAGTGGACACCGGCAGTGAACGCTTCCTGTTAGAAAACACGGACACATGTTGTTTAGCTTCTCTGAGACATTCTACATTCTGTTTCGCCTCTGTCCGTCTCTTGTGACACACTCTGAGCTTTGAGGACACTCCACAGCGTCCTTGTCTGCCTCAAGGTATTTATACAGCCTGCTGACGTGGCTGACACGTGTGTAGAGATGTGAGCTGCTGTTAGCTTGCTCAGCTACCTGTGCTAATGTTCGTGTTGATCAGAAAGAGGGCCGAAAACTCGACGATGGAGATACAGCTTTATCACAGTTGATGCATTGTTAACTAACTGCTGTGTGCTTAACTCAACAGTTTCTAGTTTTGAATATATGATCTGTTTTGTTGTTTGTCATTAGCAGCTCACCACTGTTGGACCATCACCCTCTCTGTGACCTCACTCCTCCTCCTCCTCTCCTCAGAAGGCTCCTGCAGCTCAGCCTCTGGAATAATGTCGCAAGCCACCAAACGCAAACACGTGGTCCAGGAGGTTCTGGGAGACTTTGTGACGCCCACAGAGAAGCAGCAGATAGTGAAGGTGAGCTGTGTGTTAAACATGTTCACACACCAGAGTAAACAGCAGAGCGTCGAATCAACTCTCGTCTCCATCCTCCTTCTGTAGATCACTGGTAGCCGTGGTAACAACCTCCATGAAACTGTCACGGCTCAGGGCGAGATCTTCCTGGTGAGCATGCCCACCAAGTTCCGCAAGAACATCTGGATCAAGAGAGGTAACTGATGGAGCAGGACGAATAGACAGTATAAATACTACTAACACTATAGCCTGGTAGTGAGATCAGATCAGTGCCAGCCAGCTCTGAAATCTAATCACTGCTGACAGCAGGATGGGGATTATGGTAAATATCTAATATATATATTTATAGATATATGCTTGAATAGAGATTATTTAGTTAAATTCTCTGTAGAAAAGACAGTTTTACTGGTAATTCTATCTCTCAGGCTGGTTAAAGTAATCATGTCCACAGTAAAGACCTACTCAGAGACACACACACATAAAAACTCAAGTTCACAGATTTCAAAAGTTTAAGCTTCAAAATGGCAGCTCACAAACCAATGGGTGATGACAGTGTGTTGCCGCTTGTTGAAAACCAATACGACTAATAACGCTCTTAAAATAAGACAGATACGATTGATGACACCAGTGAAACAGCGTTATCAGTCATAGTACTGATTGAACTAGATCTATAACTGTTTGAGTCTAGAGTTGTGACTCTACCGTTGTACTGTCATGAACTGTGTGCGTGCTCTCTGATCCTCAAGGTGACTATGTGATAGTGGATCCTATCGAGGAAGGAGAGAAGGTGAAGGCAGAGATCAGTTTCATTCTCTACAAAGATCACATTCAGCATCTGCAGAAACAGCAGCTCTGGTGAGTGACAACACACTGAGAGAACACAACACATCATACAACCAGCATCAGTTGGTCAGGTGTTACTGAGTGTGCTGTGATGTTCTGTACGTTCTTCTCCAGGCCCGAGGGTTTTATGGAGGAGTCTTCAGCACAGGACAAGACAAACAAGCAGCAGGAGACGGCAGGAAAAGAGGAGGAAGAGGAGGTCAGTGACTCTGAAGACGATGAGAGCGACCTGTTTGTGAACACCAACCGCTGTAACTACCAGTACAGTGAGAGCGAGGAGGAGGACAGTGAAGAAGAGGAGGAGGACAAATAAGGAAGGACAGAAACTGGCTCACAGCAGAGGACGTGGACAGCTGAGAGTGAGAGCTGTGAAAATCACGTGACAGTGTGACTGTGCTGTTATCACTGACCAATGCAGGGATCCTCAGGCTGCAGCCGCTGTGGGAGACCCTGGGCTCACTGAGTGAACGTGAACTTACAGAGGAAGGACAAAACAAGTCGTGCTTGTTGTTAACAATTAAGACAAGACCTCCAGTGGAGGTTTTGCTGTATTACCAGTACATTTTATATCCAGGTGATGTAAAACATTTTCAGGGTCCCTGCTAAGGTAAACGTTTGTATCTGATCAGTGTCCTGATAAAAATGAATAGAAACTCATACATTTCACCTTCCAAAATCCTTATTGTTTGAAATTAATTTACATTCCTGTAATGTTTGAAGTATTTGCTGACTTGATTGATGAGTATGGAAGCTGCAAGGATCATTTTTGTAGTTGTTTTTGTCCTGAGAGGCATATAACAACCAGGCTTTTCATGCATGAGCTTATTAAGGGTTGCAGTGGGGGCGGGAGCCAGTCACACCTGACATGAGGAGAAAGGTGCGGGACTCCCAGGACAGGTTCGACTGTCAATCACAGAACAAACACAGACAGACAACATTCCCTCTCACATTCACACTGATGGACAATTTTAAGAATCACTAAAGGCATTTTTGTTTTCTTCTTGGTGATACTCTGTGCACTCTCAAGCCAAGGTACATATATTATGTGTGATTTGTTTTTGTGTTTCTTTTAGCTAAACATTTATGTTAACTGGAAAAGATTTTCTGCCAGGAAGGCGAACGACAGTCTTTGTATGAAGTAGGTTGTGGTAGATAAATGAGACACACACACACAGGACATTCATCCCGGAGATGAGTTTAAATCTTGGTTGATTTATTATTTTAATTTCAGATTTTTTACACCAGAAACAGATTTCAGAAAGCCTTTGCCACTTTAAATACAATTCTACCCAAAAGAGTTGCATCACTTTCTAAGTTTAGAGTGCAGAGAAATTAAAAACTAACACGCTAAATTCAATCTAGACTGGGGTTCACTAAAAATAAATTTTCTAAAGAAACAATCCTGACTCAAAAAACCTGCCTTTCACAGCTTTTCAGGTTTGGTGAGAAATAAACATATTCTCCGTGTGCACCATGTATCCATCCATGATTCATCTGTGCTGCATATCCTCTGAAGGTCTGGGGGGACTTGAGCCAATCTCAGCTGACATTGAGCAAGAGGCAGGAGGACAGGTCACTAGTCCATTACAGGGCAGCACACTGTGCCTCAATTCTCAAAATATTAGCTCGCAATACTTGACATGAAGCCATTGAACAGTTTCTTCTACAGCCAGTGGAACCAGATCAATCAGTATAGTTCGTAGGTGACCACATTCCCTGAGGTGTGACAGGAGGAAACAATGGTCCCAAATCAGGACCTCATTAAACTCACATCTATATTTTTTTAATTTCTTTAAATCTGAAATATTTTTGGATAATGAGGGGTTGTTAAAGGGCCTGTTAGCAGTCAGAAAGAAACAGCACATGAGAAGCTAACTGAGCTGCAGGGTGAGAAACACATGAAAAAAAAAAGATCTGCCAAGGAGCTCCTGTTTTCATTGGTTTCTTTTGTTAGTTTCTTTGTGTGTTAGTCAGTAGGATTACACAGCAACTACAGGACAGATTATCAGGAAACATGGGGGGATGTGACAGTTTCGATGTCTTACGCAAAAAGATAAAGAGGGTTAAGCTTAGATGCTCAATTTGTGGTAATAGCTCTTGCATGAATCAGAGTTTAGGTTCCTTGTCCTGGGCCTGTTTTCCTCAGGGGCACATCCCAACACTGTGTCTGTGTCTTTTTCATGTCTGTCCACAGGTTCACTATCTCTTGGGGGCTTCGCTTGTGGACCAATAATATGCTGTGATACAAGCACGGATCCTTCTCCTCTTTTGCGGCAAAGTCAAACGTGAGGAAGGCGGGGTGGTTGATCGGGGAAATGTTGAGCCGAACCATACACATACCCACGTAAACATCGTCAATGGGGAACAGGTGAACCCTTTTGGACATCAGGTGTAGACGTCTGGTCAGCAGACCTGAGTACACCACCCCGCCCCCGCCTGCGTACAAAGGATAGAGGCCCTTGTAGAAGCTCTCAGGGATGAAGTACTTGGAGTTTCTGGCTCGGATGGGCGCTGCCTCACTGATGACTTGTCCAACCATGAAGTCTTTCATCGTCTCATGTACTTGTGGCTTCTTGAGCTGGTCCTGCAGATATGTTATCATTTTCATGCTGTTGACGAAGACGTCATCGTCTCCCTTTAAGACGAACTGAATGCTGCCACAGACATTCGAGAACCAGCTCCAGAAGAGCACGTCCTTCAGGGTGAGGTTGAAAAATGTGTCCTTGAAGTCCCACTGCAGAATGTCTCCATACAGTTCACTCTCTGTCTGCAGAAACTTGGACACACCTGCACTCAGGTTCTCTCGGTTTTCTCTACCGAGTAGGAAGACCCTGCGGACATACCCCCCAATTTCTTCTCCGCTGCTCTTGTTCCTGCTGTGTCCTGCCACCCACCCCACCTGGCCCCACGTCCGTCGAATGGCCTGTCGGTTCCTTAAGTTCAGCTCTGATGACTTGATGGCAATGAGGAGAAGAGGGCGCTTCTTCTCGTTTTTTGCCCCAGCTCCACACATACCATCCGGCTGTAAGAGGATCGGGTAATCCCTCTGATGCATGTGTCTCACAAATTCTTTAATTGGCTGTGGTTGCATGTCAAACTTTGACGTCCCATTCTCCAAATGTCTAACTTCAGAGAAACCTTGCCACAGCAGGGACTCATTGTCAAACCTCATCTTTCTGTTGTGGGGAGCCAGGATGGGGTTGTGGTGGCGCTCAGTGACCAACTGCAGATGGTTCCAGAGGCTGTTACCATGCAAGGAGAGCGCCCAGAAAGATTTAGGCATCGGGGCAAAGCTGTCATTTCTGAAGGCTCCGGGGGCCACAAAATGAGCACCTTTGGGGTTTGTTACGTTTTTACTCAGCATCAAACAGGTGTAGGTGAAGAGCAGGAGCAGGAGCAGGCAAATGCACGGGCTGCACAAGCAGATTACCACGCCGTACCAGTTACAGTGACACACTGCCATTCCTCTGCAAATACACAAGCAGTTTGTGAGTTTGGACCAAACCTAAATCTGTGTAAAAAGAGTCAAAATACATTATAGGGTCAAAGTTGGTGTGTCAGAATAAGAGAGGAAAAACTTCAACCTAATATTTCTACTTAACATTCTGTTAATATTGTTTGGCCAAGTTTTCAAACATATCTGTACAAAATATTGCTGCTCCAGGAACAGTAAGATTAAACAACATGTGTCCGAGTGCACCTTGAAGAATATAATCAACCTTCAATATTTAAATCGGTTTATTGGTCTTAAAGTGAGACATAAGACCAGAGATTTACGAATTAGTTTTATATATTATTTTTGCTCAATATTATTCACATTATATTTAGTATTACTAAACTGCTGTTTATAATGTAAATACAGTAAATATCCTGACTTCTATTATTGTGTGAGACATAAGCAGTAACAGAAAAAGCTCATATTTGAAAGTCACAAAACCAAAAACTATCTTGTCAAAAGGTCAATTTAGCAGCTTTTCTTGAGTTTCTAACTGTATCACATGATCTTTTTCAGCAGCTGCATTAACTTCTTCAACTTCATAACAACTTATATACATCAAAGATCAGTCACTAAATGCAACCTGTGTGAAAACTATTTTGCCAACTGCGCTTCCTCGTGTCAGATATGAACGAGTGAATTATTTATTCATTCAAATTACAGTTATATCAGCAGATGAAAACTCAAATGAGTGCATTATTTTATTAGATGAGCTCATCCTCTTTTAAAGTGCTGAGGTGGAAATATAAAGAGTAATTTGTTTTCTTTGCCTACCTGTTTGAAGTGAAGCCTCCTTCATTCACTGAACATTCATCTGCTCTGTTAACCAAAGCTTAAGGTCAATGCAAGTGAACCAAAGATGTGATCCAGACAATCAGTCTGGCGATTAATCAAGGCGTTTTCTCTACTTCAGCCGGAACTCCTGTTGGCAGCTGCAGGTCCAGTTGACTGAACACTTTACATTAAATACACTGACTGAGATGTGTGCACAAGGGTTACACCTACTGACAGAAAGAGAACAAACAGGAGTTACGAGTTGTTACTTTGCATCTGATGGGCTGAAGTGGAATCAGAAACAAAGGGAAACTCAGCGACCTGCATGACAAAAGTTAATTACAAAAGAAAACTGGTCATCTTCAATTCGTGCTTTTAGCTTAATGTTGATGCCAATATATTCTAACCCCACTACAACTGCATGTGTAAGATTAGTTGTCTGACATGGACCTCTACAAACTCTGAGCCTCATCCCCACAAAGCCGTTCAGTTATCAGCTCAAACAAGAAATTCAAAGAGGGGCCAGAGTGTGTCTGGAATCCTGAAACTTTGGTGACGCAACATTCCATGACAGAAAAACCTGTTGTGAGTTGAATTGAGAGGCGGTGCCCGACACCAGCAACCAGCAGGTGCAGATCGAGACTTAAAGGTCTCGATCTACTCATGTTGCCGGTGTCTGTGGCATTTGAAACTGCTATGATGTGTTATAATGTTTGCATCCCTGTTTTCTTGTTATGGGCACTGCTGCTCCGTCACTCTGATGGGGGTTTATCTCAGCACAAAGAAGACGTCCTGGTGGCTACAACACACCTGGTTTGAGTCTGGCCCAGGACCTTTGATGAAGTGAGAGAAGAAGTGTGGACAGACAAGCTCAGTAAATATGTGCATGTCCTCGGTTCCTTCAGGTTTGAGTTCCGCTTGAAAAATTGGATCTGTCACACACCTTTTAAAATCTATACAATTATTATTAGAATAGAACTATTCCTTTTTCAGCAAATTATTTTAGTAATAGTATGAAATATTGTAAGTAATCTTGGATATAAAATGTTGAGCAATACCCCCTCACTTGAGATTCTCCGTGAGGTTTTTCTTGATGAGGGTTAAGGACAGAGGATATCACACCTTGTACAGATTGTTATGCCCTGTGAGGCAAATTGTGGCTTGTGAATATATAAAAAAGATTTAATTTGATGTTGTTTATTAACAAACAGAGAAGTCGCTATTTCCATATTTCCACAAGTGTTTCTGTCTTTGCAACTCTGATTTGTATTCTCCGTGTACACATGATACAGCTGTTGGTTTGACCTCTTTCTGTAAATACAATATGACAACAATATCTTAAAGTCTGTAACGAAAACAACAAACAGCAGGGTTTTTTAAACAAAGATGACAGGACTGTTTCAAAACTGTAGGAATAAAGTTTTATTTTCCATATGAAGGGGTGGTTTTGGATTTTTCTTCTTTTACAAGTTGTACGTTTTTGATAAAACTTGCAAAAAATCTTCTAGCATATTCCAAGAATGATGGGACATGAAGAGAAAGGGGGATTTATTGCTGAATGTTAAAATGAAGACACATTTTTATTTTTTATTTTTTCACCGAGTGGAAAAACGATTTGCTTGCTGCTTTTTCCATGCACCCAACTACCAGTACCACTAGGACATGCAGGGGGATGGGGGGTTGAGAGGAGAGGGGAGGAGAGGGGGAGGACAGGGTGGGAAAGAGGTGTAGGAGTGAGGGAGTCAGTAGGTAAAAAAGACAAAGGCAAACTGCTTGACAAACACAAACACATGGAAGGACTGTGTGTGTGTGTGTGTGTGTGTGTGTGTGTGTGTGTGTGTGTGTGTGAGAGAGAGAGAGAGTGTGTGTAAATGTCATGTGTGCTTCTTTATGTATATAGTAATGTACATCAGCATGTGCAAAATGTATGCGTCTATGTAAAGGGTAAGGGTGGGAAGTGCAGGGTGAGAACTAGGGTGGGGGGTGTTAACATTTCAACTAGCTCTAGAAGCACACTACCCTCACTTGCAGTATTTCCACATTGCAAATCCCAGATTGATTATTACAGTGATAGTAAGACAAAACTAGCCAGACCTTTGGGCCCAGGAACCCAAATAATTTTTTTATATAGTTCTAGTATGATTCCCCTGAATCTGCGGGGCTCTTTGTCATTTTTAAGATTCTCTCTATATCTGTGATCCATGCATCTTCTGTGTGAAAACAGAAAACAAACAAAAAAACACAACTCTAATAGGGACACATATTGTATCTGACACAGTATTATTTTCCTCAGCGAGCTTGACAGGGTCTCTAAACCTGATGTATATTTGAGGTGGAAGAGTTTCTGACATGATCAGCCTACTGTTCATGTGCTGCTCAGTGTACTCGTCTGGAGATGGGGCCAAAATCCATCCACTAGTTGCTTCTGATTGGTCGATACAGGGGTGAGAAAGACATGGAGGTGAGGGTCTGGGTGATGTAAGTTGGAGGGGGGCAGACAGAGACAGACACGAAACAGATCATTCAGTCAATATGACCAAGCAAAAAGAGGTTCAATCAATAAAGGTATAGGAATGCAAATCAAGGATGCAGTAATCAGTATTATCATATAACACCATTTGGCTGTGAGCTAAAGAAAAAGTAGAACAAACTCGGAAACTCGCCCTGTAGTGGTGTGAACCTGCACGCAGCGGCCTGCAAGCGATTTCCCCCCCATCAGAGCAGTGGCATCGCTTGTGGGGGGGGGGTGTTGGCAATTCTAGGGGCCCACAGCTGGAGGGGGCCCGTAAAGTTTCCAGTAGGATTATATTATTTAAATAAAAAAATTAAAGAGGGGGAACCCAGACCGATATCCTCCTCTTAGGAGGTCCCAGAATTCCTAGCTATGCCCCCGCATCAAAGCGAACAGATGTGGTCTCCCAGGTTTTTGATCACCATCATCATAGTGACCCACACGCAGCTACACACATGCCCACTTACACGCATGCACACAACCGTTTGAAGTAAAAATAAGTTCTAAAGAAAGCAACTGACTTTCCCTTCTGATTCCAAGAGTTTTTATCCATGCTCCCTTAACCATGGCCACGAGTGAATGCAACAAACCTGACAAACTGACGGACAGGAGTGAGAGTGAGGGGACATGGATCTGGCCTGCGGACTGAACTGCAACTGAGATGACGAGCTCTCTCTGGTTTGAGTCTTTTGGCTGTGATGTGATGGGGGAAGTCCTGAGACACAGTGCGGCTCTAAGCTGCTGGCATAGGAAACGGGCGGGCTGGGCAGTCCACGGGAGGCCAGAGTCAGGCTGGATTACAACTGGACTGGTTGGGTTCGGTTTGGATCGGCAGCTCCCCGACCAATGAGGGAGGTTCTTACAGTGCAATGGAGCTTCTGGCAGCGTGAGGATTGGTGGGAGGAGCGTGTCAGTCAAACAAGAGACCACACCCTCCAAGGTGAACAGTGGCGCCAACAAAATGAGCTTTCATGAGGTGCACACATACACACACATACACACACTCACTGCAAACAATACCAGTGTCATGACAGCACCCTGAACACCTACAGAGGAATCTGGAGTCACTTTCCCAACTCCCTAACACTCTTGTTGTCACAGAACAACAAATGATAGACAGGCAGCGAACGAGGACATAAATGACCAATGATCAAGATTCACCCAAAATTCATCCGAGAAAACTAACCCTACACATCCGGTTGTGTCAGTGACTAGATGTCCCTGTGAAACGAGCGCGTCGCATGGATCATACTCATGTAAACAGACACCTTTTACACAGGAGGAATCAATATTGCATGATGACATAATCAGATCACAGTTCAAAAAGAGGAAGATCCCAAATCAGAGAAAAAACAAAGCAAAAGGAAGGAAGAGGGTTGGTCTCTATATAAAAACGAGGAGTCTTTATAAGAAAGGCTACAAAAACTCAATGGGACCTCCGACTTCAGCATACAGCAAAAGGCACCACAATATTATTCTATTTATCTAACTTGTGAAAAAATTGGCACGTAATTCTCTTATTTTTTCATCTCTCATAATGCTGTAAATCAAAAAACTTTACATATAAATACCCCCCCCCCGATATAAAAAAAGTCTTTGCTGTTAGCTAGTAGACAATTTTTGCTGAAATGAAAATAAATATTTCATTTGTTTAGAATATCTGTCTGTTATACAAAATAAAAATATTTCTCCTAGGTGCGGGTCTCTAGTCCACTGGTTGTGTGTAAGAGGAAGGGGCGTGGGTGAGGTGGAGGGGGTGAGGGGTGGCAGGGGTGTATGAGTGGGTGTCGGGGGGGGGGCTCAAGTCTTAAAGGGGCATGTTGTCAGCCTTGAAGCGCTGCGACTGGGAGCCGCGGCTCTGCCCGTTGCTGCGTGCCCCCGGCCGACTCAGCCCGCGGTGAGTCCGTGTGTCTGCACCAGAAGACGAACGGAAACCCGGGGCTGATAAAGGCGGGTCCACGTTCATGTTCTGCATACTAAGGAAAGGTGTGCTCTCCCCTTGAGCGTCCTCCTCCTCCTCCTCCTCCTCCTCTTCCTCTTCTGACTCGCTGAAGCTCTGTGAGCTGTAGTCCCGTAGTCCCGCTGAGCGCTGGGAGATGTGTCCATTGAGGCGGTTGCGTCGCGGGCGTCGCCTACTGCGAATGGGTTCCCTCGATGATGCGTACTCCTGCGTGGTCTCGTAGGCCTCATCATCAGGGAGACGGTAGGGGCTGGACGGTAGACTTCCTGTGCTCTCCGTCAGGTAGGGCCGCCGCGGACGCCGAGGCTGCCTGTATAAACTTCCATCCTGACACAAGAAACAGAGGATGGAGGGTTTGTTACAATCTACAACATTTCAATAATAAACAGTGTGTGTTGAACTTGTATGTTAGCTCAAAGGAACTGGCTAATATACAGCAGCTTATACCTCTCATATACAATATTCCGCTGCTGTAAATACTCACTAAAGCACCAAATGTGTATTAATACGTAACAGAAAATAGTCCTGAATGAAAGAATTCTTTACCCCATGTTTGAGAAACATTAAATAAAACCTACAGTGCTCAGTGGTTTTGGTTTCCTGTAAAAAAAAAAAGAAGAATATAATTGCAGTCCATTTCAGTTCAGTAGGAATGAATAGACTTGGGCCTTAGTGTCACAGACATGTTAGGGAAGACACAAAATGTATGTCTTTTCATTTCAACTG